CAAATGCAATTAACCAGAAATAAACTCCGGAGCTTCGGTCTTTCCTCTCTCTTTGATCCATCCATGAGCATCAAGGAAGGAGTACGCATGCATTGTTCCAGGTGTAGCACTGGAAAGGCTCATGTTCAGGCAGTGGTGTGAGAGACCTTACAAGTCCTGCTAATGGTGGGGTTTGAGGAGGGGTTTGAGCAGCAGGCTGGCTGCGTGGTGCTGGGAAGCCCACTGAACCCCCATGCCTCTGTGCTCTCATTCACGAAACACTGGTAGTACCCGAGTCACGGTGTGTTGGGAGGCTCAAGTCAGAGGCATGAGCACAGCGCTTTGTGATCTTTACATTAAGGTAAAGCTGGCCATAGCAGCTCTAAGCGCTGACCTGTGCCTAGCAGTGTTCAGACAGGAGGTCGGCCTCCTCTGCGCCACAGAGGCCTGCTGGCCCGCTTCCACTACTAGGAAGCGCTCTGCATTCCCATCCCTTCCACTCGCCTGCAGTGACTGCTCCGTGTTCTCCCTCTGCATCTCCATTTATGAAACTAATCACACAATTACCTGCAGGCATGTGTTAAATATGACACTGGTCTCCGCAAAATAATGGGCCAATTGCAAACAATGAATAAAGAGAGGCAGCTCCATTTATAACTGCTGTTTCAACAGAGCTGTGTTGTAATCAAAGTGATCTGAGGGTGACTCATTAATTAATTGATGTTCTTTTTTATTATGTGCTATTGAGTTAATGAGTAATTTGTGCTAGATAACTCTCTGAACACGCTGATTACGTGAGATATTTTCTGGGGCTTTCATACCAATGACACGCTGAATAGGTGGAAGATGGTTTTTGCTTATGTATACTCATTATTAGCAGGTTGAGGATGAATATAAATCAGCAGAAGGGCATTTTAAAAGGTATTAGATACATGCAACCATTACTTTAAGGCTTTAAACAGATACTCTGAAGCTTTTAATGCCTTAAATAGTATTAAAATCACTTTCTTTATAATACTTCTATCACTCACAATTGGCAGCTTCTAGAAAGGGTGCCTACACAAAAGATTTTTACTGGGAGCATGTTTGTGCTAACGGCCTATTACGTTGCACATACTGTATTTTGGTTTCCTTTTGCAAGGTACTGAAGTGAACAGTAAACAGGCTTGGTCTGCATCATTGGACTGAAGTAGGAGAAATGTATTAAGTGAATATGTAATTGGCTTTTTTTATCTAAAGTGGTATTTAAAAGAATAAAAACACTGTTCTTATATACAGTACACACTTTGCTTTCTGTAGCTTGAATTGTTAAAGCTTTTGCTTTATTGAAACCACAACAACTTCAATGCCATAGGAGTTTTTTATTCATTAAACAACAAATGGCTAAATTGATAATTTAGTCTGACAACAGCAGCACAGTGGAAGCTTTCAGAAGAATCAGCTAAATGTATAAAATTATACCCAGCAATCACTACAGACCTTCATTTTTGACAAGATTTGTTCTAGGTACAGATGACTGTAAACTACCTACTGCTGAGAAAATTATAAGAAGCTGCTGTATATTATGTAGAAAAAAGCCTTTAAAGTACTTTATACGGGCTAAATCCTACCAGAGTCCCTGTTTGTTTGCTTCTTTTCCCCACATTCTCCCTTCTCACTGACCACTTTTCAATCGATTTTCCTCATTTTACATATAGGCAATTAGGAACACTTGAGGGGGTGGAGGATGAATTTTCTTTATTTACATCACATGAGCATAGATTTGAGCATTTGGGGGGGGGGGGGGGGGGGGGAGTGGCAGGAAGAGGCATGAAGATATGCTTATATTTAAAAAAAAAGTTAAGCAAGATAAAAATACAGTTAAGAAACAGGTCGACTCTTAGCCCTGGTCACAGCTCCTGCAGAATCCAGGCCATCTTGATGCATTGCTAGTTGTGGCACAGTAAGACACAGCATGTCGTGATCAGCAGAGGAGCTTTCTGCAGTTGAAAAAGTTACAGTTATAACCTCCACGTGGCTTAAAAAACAGGAGCTCAAGAATAACAGTGTTGTGTTTTTTGTTGTTGTCGCTGTTGTTGGACTGGCTAACTTGGAGATCTGTAGAGATAGAGTTAAAATATCCTAAAGACAGGAGATGCAAGTGGAAGCAATCTTGTCTGGCAAATAAGCATACACTGAACAGTGGTCAGTAGCAGAACATTCTACTATATACCAATAGAGCATGTTGACACGGACAGTGATGGAGAAGAAAAGCTAAGAAAAAACCCCAAGGAATGGTCTGGGCTTCAATCAAGAAGATCAATAAGGCGGTCTGGCAGATAGTCTCTTTTAATATTGTCTTATGATATTATACTGCGGTGCTGTAAATGTTTCCATTAAATATATCAACTCCCAGCTATTATTTTAACAGCCAGGCAAGATATAAGTTTGAAATACAGGAAAAAAGTGTAATCAATCTTTGACCTACCTCAAATCTACATTTATATCTCTGCATACTAATTTTAGATATGTAAGTGATTAAGATACAGATGATCAGAGTGCTCAGAGCAATGCCATATGATCACGTTGCAGCACTTCAAACATGCATATCAATGTTTCTTGATCCGCAAATCAGCTAGGACTGATAGAACTCTGAGACTAATTTTTTTTTCCTCTGTAGCAAGACCACCATTCTCTTCTCCATATTGAGCAACATATCACAAAATGCACACGTGTACATATGAGTAACACTCATACCAATGAGCTGCTATTTTCCCATTTCACTCTCTCCATTTACCCCACACAGAGCTGAGCAGTTGCACTTTGTGGTCATGTGCTACATTTACAGCTCTGCTAGATGTATTTACCTTCATCCCCAACAAACCTCTTGCAGATCAGATGGTTTTGGTGCTCTCCTACCTCAGATCCATGGTTACTTACTGCATATATGAATGTTCTGAATTTCCCAGAATGTCCTAATGCTGCTAGTAACATTTTTACATGCATAGCTCTTGATTTTCTGTAGAGCTGAACTGCTTTACAAAAGCAGTGTATGTATTTAGCCCCACTTGGCAGATGGGGGCAACTGAGGCACAGAGAAGTTGAGTGACTTGCCCAAGCTTATAGCAAGTCAAAGATAGAACCAAGGTCCTTTACTTTCTCTTCCCCAGCCCTACTTCTGAACTAGGGACTTCTATCTAGTCTGTCATCTACCAGAGGAAAGCTCAAATGAACTCTTTCTGGCTTCTAACTGGAATAAACAACAGTGGCCAGAAGAGAAAATTGAAATTGGAATAAAAATAATACTTTTCCCCTTTGAGACATCCTTACCTTCATGGAGAAGACAAGATGTTTATTGCATTTGAAGATTACCTGGAAGAGCCCAATAGTACCTCTGCTGCATTGGTGCCTTAAAGACATTAAGAGACTGGAAGGGAATGGAAGAGAGACTTGTGGGGAGGAAGAGCGTTCTCAAAGTAGGGCTAAATTTCATTTAAAAAGCTGTCTGAAACTATTTCTTCCAATTAGCAAGAACAGCCTGATAAGTCTTTTCATTTCTTGCTGGTCCTGTATGGGCAAAGTCAAGTTATGTGAGTCATGCTTATTTTTAAAAGGGTTCACAGCCAGAAACAAAAGCACACAGTAACAATAGTCATTAGAACTAAATATCATTTCTAACTCAATCCATCGTGCAGTGTACTCAAAACCATACCCTAAAGGAGTTACCCCACTGCATTACAGTGTTTCTTTCCCCATCCTTAGGAAAAATACGTTGGAACAACGGGACAGGGAGAGCTGGGAAGGACAGCTGTGAACTTCAGCAAAGTTGAGGGCTCTCAGGCTAAACAAAAACAAGAGCTCAGCTTCATAGCAATATAGGATATTGGATTTTTCTTTTTTTGTGTGTATGTTGTTTTTTCAAATGCAGGCTGTTTCCTGGTGAGCTAGATGACTAGTGGCAAAGAGAAAGGAATTAAATAGGCGTGTAACAGCTTTTTAAACATTCATCTTGTTTCCAATGCCAAACACCTGTAAGCTCTGTCAGGGGTATGAGCACTTAAGGACATCCTGCTGATGCAATAGCTTCATGGCTTTAAAAACACAGGTCCACCTCTCCTAGAAAATGGGCCGACTGGCGATGGTAGGTGTCGGTAATAACTCTGCCTTGGTCAAAAAGATTTTAATCGCCAGTTTTGATGGGACAAAGCTGTGGAATGTTCTCAGGAACGAAGTACTTGTGGGGTTGACTGTGGTAGCCCTCACTTTCTGTAGTGGTACTTCAAAGTTTTGTCCCAGCTGTATCAGAATTTAAATTACCTTCAGCATGCACTGAGGCAGGTCCCAGAGAGCAGCCACTTTCCTAGTGCCAGCTAAGGGTCCTTTCCTTGATGCAAATAGACCCTTAGAGGGGGCTGCTTACAGTGCCTTCTAGGTTAAGTATTTTCCAGGGTCTGCTGAGGACACAGACCTTGAAACAGACCTTGAGGGTTAAACCCCAATTTTAAAAAAGTAAAATAATAAAATAAAAAAAGAGAGAGGAAAGAAAGTGGAACCCTTTTGTATTAAAAAAAATAAAATTGCACATAAACAAAGTACTCTCCCTTTTCTCCCCGCCTTCAAATTAAATGTGCTCAGAAAAATAACATATATATATTTATATATATATATATAAAATAAGATACCCAGAGGCACTGGCTTGCATTAGGACTTAATTTACAGCAAAATTAAAAACCAAATCCAGGCATTCTGAATGCCTGAGGGGCACAAAAGCAGCACCCAAGATCATTAACTTTTGTACCTTTTATAATATATCCCAAAACAGTCAGATTTCCTTTTCAAAATTTTGTAGTAAAATAAAAGTGCTCTTTGAGGAAAATCTTTGCAATTAAACAGCAGATGCTTAACCCCTGAAAAATAGAGGCTTATAACAGAAGTGCTGATAGACCCTTAACCATAGCATCAATAGCAGCAGGTGCTGCTAGAGTTATTAGCTTTCTAAATAGTTTTAATGTAAACAGTATTCTTAAGCTCTACGTGTAGCATAATGGTTGGGATTTGCTCTTTAATTCCTTTTACTAGAAAGATACAGCTCATTTAAAATAGCTGATAGATACAGAAAGCATAAATATACAGTAAGTTTAGACACTGATTGTACTAAATGCAACAATACAAAGAAGCAAACAGGAACACAAATGGTAACACAATAAAACTGTATTACATTTGTGCTTCAAATATTACAATACATTATATACAATAGTCCAAAATAAACATCTCATGCCAAGTGACACAAAAAGAAACAAACAAAAAGCCCGAACAAATAAACCAAAAACCCCAATAGCAAGCAAAAGAATCCAGCTGTATGTACAGTACCTTTTTTAATTAACATTCAACTCTGAACTGGAGCAATTTTCACTACATACAGATGCAGTCCGCCTTTTATTTCACGCAACCATTCTGTCTCCCTATATCTACGCTATTCAGTAGGTTCCTGTGTCATTTCTTATATACATGTTGAGCAAAAAAGATAAAAGAACATAGTGCTTTGTATTCTTAACGGTGCGGCATCAGATCAGCGAACCTGGGGTGCATAACCTTCTTTCATCAAACCCTCCTCATAGTCTGTCTGGCACAGAATCATGTTGTTCTTCAGGAAAAATTTGTCTCCAACGCAAAATCTGAAATTACAGTAAAAGCAAAAAATAAAGGTAGTTCGAGAGCGAATCATATGACAAAGTCTTAAACATAAGGAATGCACAACAAGTGTTCACGATTTTACTGTACCCACCAGAGGCTCACGTCTCTGCCGTCTGCTGCAGCACAGACAGACGGACAACACGTGTCTGCGAGAGCTCAACAGAGGAATTGGCCTGGTAGCAGAATCTAGTCCGTGCTTTCAAAAAGCTTGGTGTGTATCAGTGCTTTTGCTTCCCCAGCCAAAGGCTTCATTCAAAGCCCACCAAAGACTGTGGGAGTCTTGGATCAGGTCATCAGCAGGCAGATAAAACAGAATAAATAGCTAAGGCTACTGAGTTGAGTGAAAAGCAAATGTACTGCTTCCACACAAATCAGAAGGAAAACAAAGTGATCATACATAGGAGAATGCCCACCTGAGATGCATCATATTTATGTTGTACAGACACAGCAGTAAGAATTTCTTGCTTTATATTCCAGTTGAATATTTTACTAGAATTGATTTAAACCGGTGTTTCTGAGAACCTTTCCTAGTATAAAAAAAGCTTTCTACATATTGTGATGCAAACCAGAGACACATACACAGGTATGCAGAGAAACCTTTTTTTTCCTTCTTCTCTCCTGTAGCAATTGATTATAAATTTAGTCAGTCAGCTAACTACTTTCTCTCTTGTGGTATCAGTATACATAGCTTTTTACGCTATTATGTGCATCAGAATGATCCGATTGCTACAAAATGCTATGAATTATTTCATTTGATTTTCTCTGATGGGTAGGAAAATCACATAACGTTAGCACTGCTGGCTGTCTGGCTTCAAACTTGGAGCAAAGTGGTATTTCCCAGCTAAGCAACACTCTTGAGTGTGAGGAGGCTCTTCACCAACACCTCCTCAACCCTTCCCCCCAGCAAAGCTGGTGTTCTTGAAGATGCTTGGGGAACAAGTGAATAGGGCCAATGTATAGAAAAACAGTTTCCCTAGTGACTGCCTTGGCAGGGTTACATTCTTTTGTTTGTGGTGAACTCTTCAGCTATAAAATATATGGGGAGGCACTGCTCACATTATTCCAATTAAAATGAAAGAAAGTAACCTAAATGAACCCCTTAACACTGATGTGAATGAATGAAACCAGTTTCTACCCGCTAATTATGGATCTCACTACATACAGTATTGTTTAATGTGTAACAGATTATAATGTCCTTTTTTGTATAATTTTCAAATGGTGACATCTTGGACACAATTAGGGTCAGATATAAATGCTTGTGTTGTTTGCGGTAGATTTAACAACAGAGTAGCTATGGGAATAGCTGTATATGTATTTAATTGTAACAATTTAACCTTCACATGGCAGTGCCTGCCTTAGTTGACCCAGTAAAACTACGTAAATTACACAAGTTGACCTGCGTGACCTCTGATAGTGGTCTCTCTTTATCAGATAGTCAATTCCTAATGATGTTCAAGCAGAAAACTTGGTGAATTGTCACAGATTAAATTGTGTATTGAAAGCAGTCCTTTAATGTTTTGTGAAGTTGCAGGTTTAAATGAGTAGCAGTTGGACTGATTTACATTTGTGAAGATTGGAATGCTAGACAAACAGTGAACCCATTTATTTTCCAACTGGGTAGCTTTGGAAATTTATCCTTATGCTAGCTAAATAGATAGAGGGAAAATAGTGTAATAAAAAAGTGGATTGAAAAGAATTAGCTCTGCTCTTAAAGGAAAATTGGTTTGTTTATTTGTGGACTTTTTTTCTCTAGGATTACTGCCTGCTGCTGATGATGATTGAAAATCGAGATTATGGAATGATCCCAAAATCTTTATTTATGGTCAAGACAGTTTTACAGAATTTACAGGTTCCTTCTGTCCTTCCCACCCCAATCCTGGTACACTGGGCAGCCAACAACAAAGAAGTATTTTGGGGATACGTGATGAAATCCTTGAAGCAAGCAAGTTCTTCAGTGGTTTCTCTAGTTTCCATCTTATGTGTCCTTGTCCACAAAAAGTATTCCAAACAGAATTTTTTTTTGTGCATTTTCTTATATTAGGTCAATGAGTCTTAACTAGTGCAAATACCTGAAGACTTTTTGTTTTTCCCCCCCAAAGAAGTCACATAAAAATGACAAATCAATTAAAAAAAATCCATCTTAGTTTCTCTTAAATGAACCTATAGATGAGTATGAAGCAGAGGAAATAAGGTACTGTTGCAAATCAGCAACCCCACTGTAATTACCCCAACAACTACTGATGGAGCTCAAAGCTGAGATGCCCACCCAGAAAAGGCATCAACTCTAAACTGGGGATATTATTCAGCTACATGCTCCTTTGTGATCCGGCGCAACATAGAGCTTATCGGCATGGTTTGTTTATTCAACCAATGGAAAAATACATTGCTAAACGAAGTTCACTTGCATGGCAGTACTTTTACAGACAGCATCTTACTGTATCACTCACATCAAAATCTTGGCTGAAGGATTTTGTTTTTCAGCCACAGTTTGTACTAAAGCACACTATCTACATGAGGGAGTCAGGTTGCCTTTCCCAATAAAAAGTGTCAATGTGTTTTGCTTTTGCTATGTTAATATGTCGAGCCAGAAATGCTCTACCTATGTCTACATGGCATTTGACAGCTCTATGCATGAGTGGCTTTAAACACACACGGTTCCACAAATCATTTACCTTCTGAGTGTGCAGCTGTCTTGCACAGAGGCTGCCTGTGACTTGCCCAGACAGGCTGGGCTGTGTGATAACCTGTGGGGTGAGAGTCTGTCTGCATGGGAAGATGCTCTCAGGTTCACCTGGGGCTAGGTTTGCACACTGAGAGCCACTGTGCCTGGGGGGAAACCTGCTTCTCGCCATACCTGTAGTCCAAATTCTGCACCCACTTTCATGTAAGCTCAGTGACCGAAGCACATCGTCTAAGACCATGGTGAGACTTGTGTGTATCCCTGAGTACTAAATATATGATTTACACATTCATTAGGTGATGAGGAGGTAAGAACCAGGTGAAAAACATCTAAATGCGGTATGCTAGCTCCTGCGTACGAGAAAAGGCAAGATACAGACAAAATGCAGCAAATTCTGTCCAACGTGTTCCACACTTTCAACCGTATCTGACTCTGAAAACCAGATTTACCTTCTTCTGAAGCCAAAGAGCTAAATCTTGTAACTCCTTCAGACTGCTTTTGCACATGCCAGGATTTAAACCTGGATCAGGTTTAAAATGGAAGAGCAAATTCAAGCCTTGCCTTCCACCTCTGGTAAATGTTTTCGTCACGAAATTGACACAGGATGTAAATCAGGACACAATTTGGGCACATACATCAAACAGAGTCAAGGAGCATATTGAGATGCAACTGGGTTAGGAGTATATAATGAGGCAAGACTATTACTCTTCCAGCAGGCAGATGGTAGTCTTCAGCCTTTCCTAAAACCCTCACCCAATTTATTTAATAGGCATGCAGGATGAACGGGAAAAATATACAATAGGCAGCATTAACATGCCAGATTGGACTTACCCCCATACATTGATAACACTACTTTTGACATGACTGTGACATTAGTAGAACGGCCATTATAATTAAGCTACATTCTAGAACTCCTGTCATATTTCACAATGGCAGAAGGAGGGCCATTTATATTACAAAACGACCTCTATTATCACCTTGTTTAGAGGGGGAAGGTGTTCCTAGACTAATCAAAAGTAGTATAAAACTTCAATTTTGAGAAATAGCAATTTCACTGTTCAGAAAAGACATTTAAGGAGATCTCACTACTGTCTGTCATCTTTTCTGATGTACGGGGTGCATGTCAAGGTACTGAAAACTTAAGAAAGTGAGAGAAATACTGCTGTGAACAAAGATGGCTGTGTGTGAAGTGTTCCTCGGTAATGCTGCATCTTTGTGGTAGACAGAAATAAAATCTGGAAACATTTATTTGTTTTCCCTCAGCCCAGACTTACTCCACCCACATCCTTCCACTCTGCTTTTTATACTCAGGGATGTAACTTGTCTTCTGTTTGTCTTCCTTTCCTTTTTTTAAAAGCTAATCTGAGTTTCCAATATAACTCAAGTCAACGTTAATCTGCACGTAGCACTAGTAGAACTAAACCACTCTTGTATATCACTCAGTTCATTAGTCTGCACCTATGGTTTACTAATTTTAGTATTCTGTCAAAGAGTCCATTTATTATCAAAGGCTGGAAAGTGTAAGCTGTGGCTGGATTTGTATATTTTTACCAGTAAGATGCACTACATATACACAGAATATATAACGTAATGCATAGAACTGAACAGTTCAATTTACAGTAACTAACCTCAATGTGGTCTGCTTCTTATTTATTATTTTTTAAAAAGCAAACATGAAGGATACATTTTCATTCTAAATTTAAAGATAATAATTGAAAATAAACAGTTCTGAGGTTTTCAGAATTTGTAAGCTGAACGCACAAACAAAAATCTACCACCGGTGTTTAAATAAGCACGTTCCTAGCATCACATTCTCCCCCACCTTGACAGAGAACAAAGGCAGCACTGTGTGGGCATTTTACATTTGATACCAGAAAGAAGTGTCTACAGCTACATCAGGACAGTGATTTGAATGCGTATATAACCATTTTCAGCCCAGTGTCCATTAAAATAAAGGTTGCTTCAGATAGAAGGAGAGAGCAGTTGATTTAAATGCCCCTCGCTGATAGCAGATGGGAGTTTTAAACCATACCCCAAGTTGACTTCAGAGGCAGACAAAAATTATGGCAGCAGTATGAAACAAGCTGCTAAAGCAGCTGCAGAAATTGAAAGGAAGGACGTCGAAACTCTGGAAAGTGGAAAAGCCAAAGGCAGGCTGAGATCATTGCTGCAGTCAGAAGTGTCAAGCAAAGATGCAGCTGAGCCCACTTGCAAGATTTTCCACTCTATTTTGCCAGTCACACACATGCAAGCTGACAAAGTGTGAAAGGCAGTGTCTGTTTACGAGTTTATTTATTTTTCCAGTGGTTCCCATCTTTTTTCATTCTTTTTTTTAAAATTTTCTGCAGAAATCAACGATATGGGGACTACTGCCAAAGAGAGGGGAAGTGCTTCTGTGGAGGGGTTTAATGTGGTTACAGAGCAGAAAGGGGAGCATTCAAACCATTAAGATGATTGTTACTAAGCTTTGCAAATATTTAGAAGATGAAAGAAGTTCAAATTAGTAAACAGGACAGAGACAAGAAAGATAAGGGGGGGGGTGCTAAAACCTTTAGGCTGGGAGCAGAACAAAATCTCTATTGCTTTAAACATCAGGAGCAAGAAAAAAAAGAGGAAAATGTCAAAAACTGTCTGGACAGAGCAATTAGATGGCAGAGCTGAACAGCTTTATGAAATAGAAAATATGCCACAGTGTCTATTGGATACCATGGAACAGGACTCGGTGGCTCAGGAGATCCCTCACCTCTGGAGTTCTGCCACATGATGTTCTCAGAGTACATCATATGAGACAACAATGTTTTCTTCTTACTCTGAATCTAGTTTTCAAGAGGCCAATAAAGTGGGACAGATACATTATAGCTTAGTTCAGAGATGGAGTTTATGGCCCAAAAAGGGTCCCTTGAAAATGAGGGTCTAACAGCCATCCACACTGAAACTTGAGTGGTATGGTAAGATGCTCAGAAACAGTAAAGCAAACAGAAAAGCTGTGCAGAAAAGCAGAAAAATGACTGAATCTGTCTCAAAAAGCATTGATGATGGTCAAGTTTCGTTTTCACTAGGCCAGAATCAACTGTTTGAACAGTGGGAATACAAGGGTCATGCCATGGTAAGCCTGAAAACCTGGCCATTCTGAGGATCAGTGTGATGTGATCTAATATAATTAGTAGTTACTTTGGAAAGCAGAGCACAAAGGAAGGAACACAACCAAGGACAACTTGACAGGAGATATTCACCATTGGTGAACACAAAGTAATGAAGACTGAAGAAATTATTCAGTTTGCTTATGAACATTACATACGTTCTGTTCAGAAAATGGTAGACAGGAACTGTAAATCTCAAAAATCTCAAACACGGAGCTCAACAGAGCACTACAGGCTTTGCAGTAGTACTCCAGATGTGGTGCGCTTTTATCAGTGTAAGGAACATCCCAAAGAAATTAAGAGTAGAAAATAAAGATGGTGAATAAAGTTAAACATGTACATCTGTCCATAGCTGGGGAGCCTTCCTAGATTGGTTGGTGATTTTTCTATACTGCTGATGACTTTGCTTGTAAATAAAAATATTTCTCTTCAATAAATACCATGCTATGGATTGTGGCTGGAATGACAACGAAGAGCAGATCCAGGCACTCAACTGAAGAAGATTATTTTGACTGCAAGGAGCAGCACAGAATAAAGAAATAAAACAAAACTGCTATCTTGTAAACCTATCCTCACCTGAAGTCTGCTATTTGGTTTTAATTCCTCTGTCTTAACTAGAGGAAGAAAAAAGGCTGCTGAGAAGCACAAGAGAAATTATTAATGGCATGTTGACTGACAAGATTATTCAATTTAAAAGAAAAGAAAGATGTTTCATAGTAGAAATATATATATATAAAATAGTGGTGATGGGCCAGTGTCTAGCACTGATAGTTTCTATTTTTATTGTGCAAGTAATGAAAAACAAAAGATTTAAAGCCATTATTAATGAGAGAGTGTAGTCAGTGGAATGCCTTGCCATAGGAACCACAGAGGAGCTAAACTGGAGCATCCACAAAATAAGATTTATTACATAAAAACAAAATTAATTCTTCAGAGTGCCACTAGCCCCAAACTGTGAGGAAAAAAAGGTACCCTACAGGCAGCATGTTTTATTAGTATCCTTGAGAGCTATTGCATTATATTCAGGATTAGGGCTACTTTTGAGAATTTCTGAAATTCATTGAAAGTTCTAGAGCTGCTCCCTGCTTTGAGTAGGTGAATTTGATTGTATTTCAGGTAAATCAATTCCTACATTCCCAATCTTAGGCTCTCATAAAACTATCCATTTGTCCAAATTACACGCAAAATAAAAAATAAGAGACTAGATTGAAGGCTCAGGGATGATATGGCTAAGAATTATAAAATGTCCCTGGCATGCTCCACTTCAGAAACACCTTACAGCACTTCTCCAGTGGGAGTAAGTGGTGTTAGGGCAGAGCGCGACGCATACGAGCTGCAAAGTGAAATTGTGCATTAGTTCACACTTGTTTCAGTAAAGGAGGAATATTAAAAATAATCATGACAGCTTTGCTTTTTCAGGGCAAGAAAAAGAAAGTTCACTTCTTCAGATCCAAGAGCGCTAACTATAATGAAAATCTTTTGTACTCAGGGTACCAAACATTGTCTGCTTTGCTTGACTGATGAAGATTAGCTGACTTCTTACATTAAAGAAGTTTGTCTTGTATGGGCTGAAGTGACAAGACAATAACTAAGTGCTAATTGTGCATAACCAACACTAAAGATATGCAGCCCCATTATGGCATGTAATAAATGAAGCGAACAACAGAAATATATTAGGCACTTTAATAATGATACTAGAATAGCGGTTTGCAGAAATGGATGTGAAGGGTTTAAGAAACGAAACCTAGTCATATGTGTGAGTCTTGAGTGGGTTCTACTGGGAGGCTCTGCCTGCCTTGCTTGGAATGCAGTCTTTTAGTTTTGTGGCAAGGCAAAATTGATATAGGACTTTAAACAGCATTAGAACCTATAATTACTTTGCATTATTACATAGTTTAAGCAGTGGTTATTACTTGCCTGGTATTTTAATTTCCCATGCAACATGATGAAAAAGGTCAATTTGGTTTTTTTTTTAAAGAGTGTAATTGTAGTGTGTTACAATTATTAGCAGCTGTACATTTTATAGTTCTTTAGGGATGTTTGATTTTTAAATGACTACAATGTTACAAAATAACATACTGTAGGACAAGGTGAGTTAGCAAAGCTTATTTAGAGCTGTATCTAACTTTGTTGTGTTAGACTACTGTCTTCCTAATTTGTTATTACTTCCTAGGAATGTACATATCATTTTTCTTCCCACTTGAGGAAAAAAAAGAAAAAAAAAGAAAGAAAAAAAGGAAAAAAAAAAAAAAAGATTGCTATAAAATTCTAAATTGGATTATGTAATAATTGAAAAAACATAATGGGTACATTAAGGAGTGGACATAATTGGTTCTATCATTGCCTAGACCCCATAGAAGTCAATGGGAAAGCTGCTAGCAACTTCTCTAATAGGATTTGGCCATCAGTCTGAATGTTGTTACAGTGAGTTAGCCATAAATGCCTCTGAAAAATGCAGTTTTTATAATTTTACCATTTTTGACCTTTCTTCTGCAACTGTATACATGACTCTTCAGAACAAAATGTCTGGTTTGGATCCTTCTATAAGCTACAGTCAAGAGATGGAAGTGACAAGAGGGCAAAGGAAGCCCAATGATGCTAGAGAAAATGGTGGGAACAACATCTTGTAAATTTAACTGACCACAGTTCCGTCAACAGGAAGAGACATAATGTAATTTAAAAGAAATACATGCGACAAAAATGAAGAATTCATATGAAATTAATGCAATAATGACAAATGATATAGCTCTTTCTTCTACAGCAAAGGATCTCAAAGTCCTTTAAAATATTAATTAATTAAACTTGACAGACAGCCTTCTGAAGCAAGAGGAAGCAACGTTACTCTTGCTTATTGGTGTGGGATTTGAGGCACAAAAAGTCTTCTGGCCAAGGTCATAAAAGATGTTCTGCTTCAGACCCATGGAAAGTATCCTGGTTTTAATCTTGGGCTTCCACTACTGGTAGATGCTTCCTCTTCACTTGAACGCATACGCATAACAGAGCCAAATAAATGCTTAGTTTATGGAACAGACCCAATACATTCTCTTACCTCTGATTACAAAGTTGACATGCAAAACAGTCCAGGTGATAAACATTGTCCTTAGCTCTCATCACCATCTCAAAAGCAGGTATGAGCTTACTGCAGGCAGCGCAGTTTCCTGTAACGCCAAATAACCTGAAGATACAGAAAGACAAATATTCCTGAAGATGCTTAACTGAAAAGAAAATCAGATTTTCATGTTTTAATCTTCGTTTCCCCTCAGTAGTTGCCTGGCCTTTGACTGATTTCCCAGCACAGCTCTCTTTGGAAAGGCTGGTGGTGGTGCAAGTCTGCCCAGTTTCCAATACAAAGGCACAGTCCCTTTGTCAGAAGAGAGCCTAATGGAGTGGTGACAGCCTAATATCCCACCTAATGTGACGTTATTCTTCTACAGGTTATGCTGACCTTTCTGGGTAAAAGGAACATCTCGTTAAACTCAACAAAGAAATAGTAAACACATTAGGGACGTTACATAACTGTGCAGACAG